TATTTTTAGTAGAGACAGGGTTTCTCCATGTTGGCCAGGCTGGTCTCGAATTCCCGACCTCGGGTGATCCGCCCACCTCGGCCTCCCAAAGTGCTGGGATTACAGACGCAAGCCACCGCACCCAGCCAATTTTTTATTTTTTATTTTTTTGAAAGTTTTCATTATCTGGAATTCTTTGTTGTTTTTGAGATGTCAGAATCTCTACTAATGGTACTCAAGATGGGTGTAGCCACAAAATCTGCAGATGTTAAAAGAAGTAAAATGGATCTGTTGAAATTTCTCTTTTTTTTCTTTATTTTATTTATTTATTTATTTTTTTTGAGATGGAGTCTTGCTCTGTCGCCCAGGTGGGATTGGAGTGGTGCAATCTCAGCTCACTGCAGTCTCCCTCTCCCGGGTTCAAGGAATTCTTCTGCCTCAGCCTCCCAAGTAGCTGGGAGTATAGGCACGCACCACCACGCCCTGCTAATTTTTGTATTTTTAGTAGAGACAGGGTTTCACAATGTTGGTCAGCTGATCTTGAATTCCTGACCTCAAGTGATCTACCCTCCTCGGCCTCCCAAAGTGCTGGGATTACAGGCGTGAGCCACAGGGCCCAGCCAGAATCTGCGTTTTAATAAGATACCCTGGTGGTATTTGTGCCCATGAACGTTTGAGAAGCCCAAGTCTAAGGCAGGACAAACATGGCCCGAGGGGAATCCGGGCATCACCTATTTCTGTACAGCCAGGGAGACGAGAATGGTTTTTACATTTTTTAATGGTTGGGGAAAAAAAGATGACTATTTCTTGACACATTAAAATTATATGAAATTAGTATTTCAGTGTCCGTAAATAAAGTTTTTTTGGAACACAGCTACAATATTCACATATTATCTGTGGCTACTTTGGCTCAAAAAGAATTGTTGAGTAGTCATGACAGAAATTGTGTGGCCCAAGAAGCCTAAAATATTTATGATCTGGCCCTTCAGAAAAAGTTCACCAGCTTGTGATCTAAAGTGTACTGGAAGTACATTCTTTATGGGTTTCCAAGTAGCTTGTACACCAAGGATAACTGATTATAACAATGTGTTGTTTAGTGATCCTTTATCATATTAAAGTTGAATTAATAAGGCAAAATCAGTATTTAAACATAAGAATTATATATTCAAGCTTCAAACTTGAAGAAATGCCACTTTGACTTTTTTTTTTTTTTTGAGATGGACTCTCGCTCTGTTGCCAGGCTGGAGTGCAGTGGCGCAATCTCGGCTCACAGCAACCTATGCCTCCTGGGTTCAAGCAATTCTCCTGCCTCAGCCTCCTGAGTAGCTGGGACTACAGGCACGTGCCACCATGCCCAGCTAATTTTTGTATTTTTAGTAGAGACAGGGTTTCACCATACTGGCCGGGATGGTCTCGATCTCTTGACCTCATGATCCGCCCGCCTTGGCCTCCGAATGTGCTGGGATTACAGGCGTGAGGCACCGCACCCAGCCCTGACTTTGTTTTCTAAATGAGATACTGGTGAACTAAAGAGTTTCTTAGTTTACCTTTTGTTTCCTAAAAAATGAAATTATGGGGAAAATAATAAACTTATAGGATAAAACTTAGTAATACTGGTAATCTCTGGGGAGAGAAACTAGAAGGGGTGGGAGCAAAGGTATAAAGGAGACCTTATTATATTCCCTTTTGTGCCTTTCAGAATTGGAGCTGGGATCCAAACTTATGGGATAAGTTTGCTATCATTTTCCCCATAATTTCATGTTTTAGGAAATAAAAGGTACAATTGTTAATACTCAGAATGTTTTGTCTTATGCTGTTGTTAGATAGTTTGAATTAAACCTTGTCTCTCCTCAACACACACGATGGGCATCATCTTGCTCTGAGAATCTGAAAGTTCACAATCCTTGCTCATCTAGGTGGAAACCTGCTCGTGCTGGTGGATCAGCACGCTGCCCATGAGCGTATCCGTCTGGAGCAGCTTATCACTGGTAAGGATCTGTTCGCAACCAGAAAAATTTGAGACTCCCAGCAGAATCATTACTCCTCAAAGAGCTTTTCTAAGTGTGACTGTTGTGAGAAAGCACACTTTGTACTGTATGTTCAAAAATTAAACTAAAGTCCTCCAGTTTGCCTGTGTTATAACCGAAAGAATGTGGTAGTTCACTAATTGAAAGATATGAGTCTTATTTATGTGGTCAGAGGCATATTTGCCGGATGTTACGAACAACCCAGAAGTACTTGAGGATAGGCTGCTTGCTCTGACATCCAGCACAAAGATCTGCCCCTCTGTATGCCCGGTGATCTTGGCATGCCTTCCCACACTCCATCAGGCAGAGACCACTGGCAGCTCAGAAGGCCCAGTAGGCTGTTTTGATTTTAAAATTTAGTTTGCTTTTGAATATGCAGTATAATCAAATAGACCCAATTCTGAAAGGCACAAAAAGGAATGTAATAAAGTCTCCTTTCTACCCTTGCCCCCACCCCTCCTAGTTTCTGTCCCCAGAGACAACCAATATCACTGGTTTTTA